CAGCCTACACTTGCTGCTTTATGGAGCACAACGGGTAACAATTAAAATGTATCTTCTTCTTCACTCACAACACAATGGCATCAATTTTTAACGGGTAGGGTAATTGACCACTGGCGGATGTGTCCGATTCTCCATCACTGGCCATTTTTATATCAAGATCGGATTTTTTTTAAGATCGTCTCTAGCTCAAAACCGAAAGACTTTGGGGACGTGCTTTGGCCTGTGTTATAGGGGAAGTCAGACTAAATACCACAATGGCCCGTTCTAGTGTTGGGATCTATGAACAGCGGTGCTCAGAGGTTCCCTCCAATATTTCTTTGGATCACCGCCTCTGAAGTTGTTCCCCCGCCCTCCTTTTGGACCCAAATATCACAAACAGAGGACGTGATGTAAAAATCACCGACAAAATACCTAACTCTAAAAAAAAGGCCAAATCAAATATTTTTGTACAGATGTCTGAAAGCCGCTCAAGTGTTCCTTATTAATCAAATAATGGAGAAGCCCGGCGTGATGTCTCCTGGGGGAGGGGGAACAAACTTTCTCGGCTAACCCTTATATTGAGCTTCAAAATAGAAGAGTCTGTCTAAGTGCCCTGGAACCTTGGAAATGTTTAACTTTCGATGGCAGAGCCTCTTTCAAATGGATACCTTTAGAAGACCCGCTCCACTTCCCTTAAGATCTCGCCACAAAAGACTTGGCTATAGATCTTTCTTTCTCTCCGGTATCAAATATGTCAACCAAACTGTTTAAAACCAAGCAATCTCTCACGAAAGAACTCGAAACCTTCCCTTTTCATATCAGCACACCACTAGGTTTCATGGGACCCCTTTTTTGTGCCCAGGGGATGTCCTGTTGGAAAAAAGATTTCTTGTAAGAGCTCCCATAAAGCCTGGGCAATCATAGGGATGGCCGGGGATAACTATATGGTTCTCCCTGGCTGGATTTCTTTCCTACACCGTTACAGGGCAGCTGCTGAGGTTGTTTACAACAAGGGAAACCAACCCAATGAGTAATCACAGATGAACTGTCCTGGAGGCTGCTGTAGGAACTCCCCTGCCTCTTCCTGCGCGCCCATAGTATAATATTACGCAGTTATATGCCTAGCGAGTGTGTTTCTGGCCCGGGGTGTGTGTGTGTGTGGGGGGGGGGGGATGCTTGTGGTAGAGGGAGTGTCCGCCCCCGAAGAACTCTGCTTTGGTCAGTGCTGGAGACGGACCACTGGCGTGTGCTAAGGGAAACCCCCAAGACCTGTCGCCTCATATAAAGCCTATATTTAGGATGAGTCCAGTAGCCCCTGAAAAAACAAGAGACCGGCAGGCCCAGATTGATAAATGAGGAGTACACACTTCAGCTCCGGGGGGGTGGGGGGGGGGGGAAAGCTCCTCCTCTGTGCAATATTCAACGCTTACAGGCGGGGTGGGGGGGGGGAACAGAAAGGATCTACCTCAGGGAAAAGGGCTGGAGTCTAGGCCAGCAATTAACACGCTGGTTCCTGTCACGGCCCCTAATCCGGGCTAGCAACCGAAGTGCAATTCTAATGGTCAGTTTAGACTCTCTCCCCTCCCCCACACCCGAACGGAAGAATGAAAACGGCCCTTCCCCCATCCTCAAAAATCCCCAGCTAATTTTTGTTGTCGTTGTTTGTTGTAATCCCACCCCGTGAAAGCCAGCGGCATCTGAAAGTCTCTGTCGGTTGTTGTGCTTTAGGGGATAGGACTCATGACAGATGAAGCAATAAATATGGTATCATAGAATTAATTAAGATCATATAATATAACGAAGCAATAAATATCATGAAAGGGTAATGACTAATTAAGTATTTGGGGGGGAGAAAAGTGGGGAGGGGGACCGGAGGTTTGATGGAATAAACCACGTTGGCTCATCGCTTTCCCCGGATGGGATCCCACTCTTCTGTTGCTTCAGCAAGTTCTGGAGCCTCTCTTCTCTCAAGAAGAAGCTGCCCATAATATGACCGGCAATCACCAGAGATTGTTTTTGTAGTTACCCATGATCGGATGTCTCCTTTCTCTGATGGGTCTGACGATCTGTCCTGAAGTGGGGCCCTCTTTACGTTCTCCACTGGGGAAAATAAAAAGAAGCAAAATGTAAAATAATCATAAATGGTGAGAGGATCTGGAAAGGGACAGAGAGGTAGGATCTCAAGTCGCGTTGAGAGTCAGGTAGGCGATTCGGAAAGCCCCACTCTGTCACTGCATGGGATCCATGGACCTCGATTTGGAGTTGAGCTGCAGGCATGGCTGCCATTTGGTGGAAAGCATACGCCACTTTTTGCTCGCAATGGGGATGAGATTTTGATACTCTTGTACGGACTAGCACCTTCCTTCACGAGTCAATGGGATCCCACGTGAAGTTGGAGGGGTGCAACTAAACTGGAGTTATAGTATGAAGAACTGGCCCCTGGGGAAGGTGCTTTTTCACTGTAGCAACAAACAAAATAAACGCTTATGACAGGGCTATTTTAACCCCAGCGCCTTTGATCTCACCATTAGCCCCAGATAGCTATCCGGGACGTTGTGACTACTTGGCACCTGGGTTCCAGAGAGCAGATAAGAAGAAAGCGAAGTGATGGGTCCTTGTGGGGGTGACAGTGCCTTGGGTAACAGAGTGGAGCAGATGGCGAGCGGCCAGAGAGTTCCAAAAGGGGGGGGGGAAGAGGGGGTGGGGGGAAATGAAGATGCAACATCCACTTAAAGAAAATAACCCTCCCCCCACACACACACAACACCTCACCTTCTTTGCCTTGATTTGAGAATAACCTCCATAAGAAAAGACCTTTCCAGATTGGCTTTGCCTCTGATTCCAGTCAGTTATATTTCCTGTCCCTGTTATATTCACCTTTGCTGAAGGAGCAAGAATGTGGGTTGATTAATATTAAATGCTTTTTCTTTTGTGTCCAGGGCCGGAAGTGTTATACTATAAATGACCATTGCTTGGTCGCAGTAAAAGGGCATTTTAGTGTCTTCTCTTAACCTGCCATCGCGACCAAACTCTTGAAAAGTCCAACTCTCAGAGCTGATACTTGGCTTGGTTTTCACTAAGGGAGGTTTCATAGGCAGGGGTTACCGACTACAGCCTGTCTTCCCCTCCACATGGCTGCAATAGTGAGATATCCTTGAGGCAACCTGGGAAACCCCAGAGTGTTTCTATATTTTAAATGAAATAAAACGCACTCTATTTTAGCGCTGGAATGAGATCATTGAAAATGATCAGAGCAGTTCTGTAAAACCGGTTCAGTGATGGAATACGCTGGTTCTTTTTTTATAAAAAAAAGTCCAGGAGTGATCTATTTTAAGTATTATTTAAATATAATACATTTATTTCCTCTTCCTCCTCACCCCTCACTCCCAAATAAGTGCTATATAATATAGAAAACCACTCCTGGCTTTAAATTAAAAATGCATCTCATTTACAAAACGAATCAAGTGTTAATTATCTTGGGTTTTGATCATTAGTTTGCATACGTGTTATTCAGAAGTCGGATGTTCTAAACACCACAGAACATGAGTAACTCAAAGAAGCTGCCTGATACCTTATTATGAATAATATTCACGAACCAAAAGCTGGTGATGTAGGAAACTTTTTCATAAGCCCGTTAGTGAACCAGGAGAAATGTAACTGGCTAAAACATTTCATTTGTCTTTGGAGGCTTTAAAGGGAAAGGGACCCTGCTCTAGTCACATCTATCCCTGTTTCTTAACAAAACTGTCCCTGTGTCCAAAAGTGTTGCATCAGCCAAATCTCTGGACTAAAGAACTTGTATATATATATGTCTTAAAGTGAACTTTTGGCCTAAAAAACTCCTGATACTTCTTAAGGGCTGAGTAACCAGTAAATATCCTGACAAGTAACAAATGACTGTGGGCGTCATATTGTTAGATGCTCTTGTCTCCCCTGTGCTAACAAGTAAATAAATGTTGCCTACCTCTGTTTCCATTATAGTAACAGTGGAGGGGTAAGTCTGACTTCAGTTTCTTTCTCTTTGTACCTACCCACAATTTGGGCGGTGCCACAAGAAGACCTTAATATAATAAATGAATCAGAAACAGACCAAATGATGTTTGTAACTGAAAAAAAAAACCTGGAATTTATTAAACACTTTAAAAAGAAACTTCTCTTTTTCTATGATTAGATAGATAGATATTTTTAATCCCATTCTTCATTTTCCTATACTGTGTACTGTGGTGTTTCTCCAACAAAGACATTCTGTCTTTCAAACTTTATTTCATCAGCTCATTAGAATATTGATTGAATTAAATAGCTTTTACCCACACTGGTTCTAGACACAAAGCTAGTGTAGCAAGATGAAAGTACAGATGGGTTTGGTTTGGTTTGGTTTTTTTAGCCTTTTCATCCAAGCAAATTCCAAACTCGTTCGTGCCACTTTGCAGAGAAAGTTTTAAAATGAAGAAAAGAGCATATTTATAATTGAAAAAGCAGTGAAACCTCCCTACCTTTGTCTCTGTCTGTCTCTGTCTCAGATGGAACTGGGGTTGGGGAAAAAACCTTCTTTTTATTGGGGGGGGGGAGTTCTGATGAAGTTGGTTACATCTTATAATTTGGGGCCTTTTTAACACTTAAAACAGTCTTGAATAATTCTAACTCTCTCCTCCCCCCACCCCCCAACCCCTTCTCTCTTTTAAAGTCTTTGAGGAAAGATTTTGACATATACGTGTTGTTATCAGATTGATGGGCAGGGTTTGATTGAAGTTCCTTTGTCATGCAAATGCCAGGGGCTTGATGGATGAGCGCAGATATCTGACAAACTTCAGGAGGTCTTTGCTCATTGGATTAGTGGCGAACCACGTGGTCCCACCCCCCACTCCCACAACCCAACCCCCCCACCCCTTTTCGGAAGGCTCTGGGGGTTCGAAGGCTAGCGATCCATGGATGGAAGTTTTACGGCTTTGACATACTATCTAAAGGTTGTAGGGCAGGCGAAATCCCCCCAAAACAGGTTGACCCTCCTCCATCACTGGCAGATGGACAATACTAGGATGAACTCCTTCTTAGAGTATGCAATTTGTAACCGTGGGACGAGCGCCTACTCACCCAAGGGCTACCATCATTTAGAGCAAGGGACAACCTCCTTTCCTGCTTGCTCAGGTACACCCACCAGTGACAGTTATAACGGAGACGGACGCTTTGTAGTAGCAGGGAGCGCTACCGTGCCCAGCCACCCTGCCCAGCCGAACCCAAGCTACCATCACCCCCACCCTTCAGGGCTTGGCCTCCCCTTCTCGGGCTCTGCATCAGCAGGGTACCCGCCCCAAGCCTGCAACCCCAGCTACGGGCATCACCAGTTCTACCTCAGCCAGCAGGAAACGGATGGCCTGTATTTCCAGTCACCAGGGTACTCCGCCCCCGCCGGATCTCACCTCGGTTCTGGGTCAGACGGCTACTGCCCCTCAGGCTCTGGACAGTATCAACACCACCCCTATGGCCAGGATCAGCAAGGCTACTTGCAGGGGGCTTACAGCCACCTTTCGTCTGCTGTAACCCAGGACAAAGATCACGCCTGCCCATCTGAGCTATGCCCCACCGCCAGCCTCGCACAGACCTTCGACTGGATGAAAGTGAAGAGGAACCCTCCCAAAACAGGTGAGTTGGACAACTCGGTGATCGTTTTATTTTAAAGTGTGTGTGTGTGTGTAGAGAGAGAGGGAGGTGGGGGAAGAAATCTTTTGTGGGTTGGCTATGGGAGAGATCTTCCCCCCCACCCCACCCCCCAAGTCACAAGGAAGGAGGTAAACAGCTCAAGGGAGAATGGAACAGAGGAACATCATGACTGCAGTAGAGGTGGACAGAGGTCCTGAGAGCTGCGCCTTCTGCTATAAGGATACAGGGCTGCTGAATTTCTGTGCGAGGCCCAGGGCGATTTAAATCTTGCCTTAAGTAGGAAATGATAGTGGCTTCCTGTCCCTCCAAATTTTTTTCCCTTCCACTCCCCTATTGTTCAGCTTCCTTCCCTTGAACCCCCCTTAAATCCCAACCTCCTTCCCTCCCCCACCCACCTTGACAGTTCCATGAAAGTTTTCCACGAAACAGTGACTTGTAAAAACGGACTATTTGGAAGGGAGCAGGTGAGCCGTTCATCTCAGAAGGGAGCCTTCCGGTGCTGTAGGGACCCGTGCAGGTACAGAAAGCACCCGGGCCCTGCCGTGGATGGAGCAAAGGGCCAGAAACTGGCCCAGATGCTGAAGTGGTGAGTGTGTGGGGGGGTGATGGATGGCTGGAGAGAGAGCGGGAGAGAGCCTCGCTTGTCATGTGTCGACCCTCCCCACTGCTTTAACGCGTTACGCTTTGCTGCTGCTTCCTGTGTGCGTTTGCTCATTAACAGCTAAAGTGTCGGAATATGGACTGGTCGGGCCGCCAAATGCCATCCGGACCAACTTCACCACCAAGCAGCTGACGGAGCTGGAGAAGGAGTTTCACTTTAATAAGTACCTCACCCGGGCCAGGCGAGTGGAGATCGCCGCCACCTTGGAACTCAACGAAACCCAGGTGAAGATCTGGTTCCAGAACCGGAGGATGAAGCAAAAAAAGCGGGAGAAGGAAGGCCTGGCCCCCGCTCCTGCCCCCAGGGTGGCCAAGGAAGTGAGCGAAGCCTCGGACCAGTCCAATTTCACCTCACCTGAGGCCTCTCCCAACTCCGTTTCCTCCTGAAAGGGTCCCTTCAAGGCTGTCTCCTTGCAAACGAAGCCAAGGCACACAGATGGAGGCGCGCGTACCCAGACCATATACACCCCCCACACTTTCATACACACACTCCAGCCCGCCCAGGCTGGCCCACACCCCACTCCACTGACTGGTGCCCCGTTGCCGGAGTTGTGATGGTTACACTCCTGCTTCCATTTCTCTGTCCTTCGCTCTTAATTTATGAGACCGTCCTGTAGGAATAGTTCACTCCAAAAAGGAGGGGCTGGCTGGGTCTTTAACCTACATTCCTGGCAAGACCCATTTGTCTCAGGGACGTTTCCACCCCAAGTTTGGGGATTGCACTTTCAACCAGAGAAATTCTTGAAACGAATTTAGTTATTTCCATTCCAAAAAACAGTGTGCACAGACTTTGGGCTGCAAGAATTCGTTGCTTAATGTAACCTTTTCCCCCGTGTCCTTTCTTCCCACAGGATTGTAAAAAGTTATGTTTTCCCCACCCCTGCTTTTAAACTTTGTATATCTTGGAGTGAGACCTACCCTATTAATAAGCCAGAGGCCTTTGAGAAAAGAACACAACCCTTCCCTCATCACTTTGCACTATCGCGGCTTTCCATGCTGTTCCAATGCTTTGTTTTACTTTTTATTTGAACGTGGTTTGTATGCTGCCAGCCACACAAAAAATAATTGAGGAAAAGTTTGACCTCCGGGTACTTTTCGAGGGTGAGTTAGGGAGTGTGCATGCTTCGTGCAACCAGTCTGCAGGGTGGAACCTTGTAAGATTTTGGGTCGTTCAGTTACATTGCTGGATTCAAATGGTATTTATTGTCTATTGCGATAGCCTTAACTCTTAAAGGAAAGTAGCATCTCCCCGTTTCTCTGAGCCCGATAGAAACGCTATTTAACAATGGAAAATACAGTGTAATTATATTCCACCCCTCCCCCAACAAACTTTTGCATAGACCAAAATTGAGAACGTGGACATTTTTTGTTTGTTTTGTTTTAAGGAGAAAATTACATCGAAAAAAAGCTTATCGGGATTTCCCCTCCCCTCCCCCCCCTGTATTTTGACATGAAACTACCTCATTCTAATAAAGTTTAATTTTTCATAGTCTAGTCCTCTTGATTGTTAGTTACGTGGAAATATCTCACACCCAGCCAGGTGGAAGGTTTCTTAACGCCGCTAAACCTTTCCAGAGACAGGTCCGATCCTGCTGCCTTTGTAGATCAAATGGCAAATCTCCCCTTGGCTTCGACAGATGCAGGATCGGGCCCAGTAGACACCCCTTTTACCGCTTCTAAGGGCCAAACTTAAAGCTGATGTTTTGGGGAACTGCAGAGCGGATGGCTTAACTTCAGTGGAGGCCTTTGGCATCAAGCAATCAGTTTCTCCTGCGGTCACCTAGAACTAGTGATTTTTAAAAAAACCCAACACGTTGTATTTAATCAGTGAACGATCTTTAAAATGATAGAAATGTATCACAGACACACACACACATTCTAATTTAAGCACACACATTTCAGGAACTATAGGGTACCCACGTTCTTGAAATAGAAGCATCGACTGGCATGAACTTGGGGGGGGTGTCATATTTACATAAAGAAGGTTTCTGGATTATTGAAGACATGCTTTAAAGGGGATCCAGTGGCCTCAGAAGTAAAAGTCAAGAGGGATATTTCCCCCTTCCCCCGCACGCCCCCAAATGGGGACACCGAATGAGGACCGATTGCTCTCCGAATGAAAAGCAGACATAACTATGCACCACCTTTGGGGGCTGGAGCCGGATTCCACAAGGCGATGGCACATCCCCCCTTGACTTCACTGGGCGCGGGATCGGACACTTTATTCTATAATCTTAAGACTTTTGGAGGAAGAGAGGTTGGTGGGGGTGGAGGTAGGGGTGGGGGAGGGGGAAGGGGACTTTTAGCTCTGACCTTTTTACCTCGAAACGCCTCTGGGATTTCTAAACAAGTAAACAGAGAGGCTGCCAGGAGAATCTATTGTTCTGACCTCAGTTGAAATTTGCAAACCCTGTTTTTTTTTGTGGGGGGGGGGGGGGAGGGGGAAGCAACTTACCAAAGTACCTGTTGTAAATTAAATGTACGGATTTGCCTATATCGATGTCTTAAACGCTGCTCAATGCTGTTTTAAAGAAGTGGGCCCAAGTCATCTGAGGGAACTTCCCCTAGCCGTGTAACCATCCTCTTCTCCCCTTTCTAATCGGGATCGTCAGGAATACATCTTGCATGGGCTCTAAAGAAGGTGACTGGAGGTGCAGTTAGTCTAGGGACAGGGCTGGGAGAAGGAATACAATAGCTTAAAAGAGAAGGCTTTTTGCTAAAAGTAATAACTTGGGTATCATCTCCTTTGACAGGGGAAAGCAAGCAAGCAAGCTAGCTGGATGCTTTGATAACTCATTTGACTGAAGGAAACTTTCTTTGAAAGTGTCCAATTAAAAGCCGGGTTTTACTCCTCATAACGTTCGGGCATTTCCACCAGGGAGAATTCTCATGTCTCTTGCATCTGTTTCTAATCGAAGATGTAATGGGATGGGTCCCATTTGCCCACAAGGCTGACAGGTGAGAATGGACGTTAGCCGTTTCCACTGGAGCAGAGTTTGGCAAGCCCGGGGTGGGATGGGGTCCTGCCCAGGACGGGAAGGCTGATGGAGCTGAGCAGAAAGGACAGGAGGTTACTGATATGTCAGGATGTCGGGCACAACAAAAGCCTAGAAAGCTCGCATTTAAAACTCAAAGGCAGACCCCGGAAGAGGCCGCAGCGCCTGTGTTGATGTGTCCTTACATATGTAAACCCCTTCCGACCTATTTCCATTTATGAGAGGGTTCGTTTCATCTTCCCCCCACCCCCCAATTTCGTCCTTCATTCTCACACTGGCTTCAAAAAAATCACCACACACTTTCTTTCGGGTTTTTTCTCAGATTTCTTCACACTTCCTCTTGTTTTTCTGGAAGTTAACAGACAGAAACTCAGGGCTGTGAACTAGAAAACATGGCAAAAATACCAGCTTGGTGAATTGGAAGGAAGAAAGAAAGAAAGAAAGAAAGAAAGAAAGAAAGAAAGAAAGTCTGTATCTCATAGATATATACAGATATATCTATCTATCTATCTATATATATACACACAGACATGCATATATGTGTACATGCTATTATATATATTAAATTACATACATCTCATATAAATACATGTTTATAGATAAACACACATGTAACATTGCATGTATATCTATACATATATGTATAGATTTATCTTATCTGTATTTGTACATACATTTATGTGTATAGTTGTGTTTGATATATGTGTATGCATATGATATACAAAGATGTGTATTAATCTATCTATATATACACACACATATCTCACATCTATCTATTTATCTGTGGAGCATCTGGTATGATATTTTTGTGAGCAGGAAAATCACTCCAGGGTCAATGCAAACATATATATGTAACATATAAGCACACACATCTCTCTCTCTCTGTCTGTCTATCTACATAATGGAGATTTATTCTTTTAATATCCCAAAGGAAGAGGACATTTCCCAGTTTAGAAATTCTTGTAAATTATTTATGACAATAGCCTTGTTTGAGATACGTCTCTTCTGCGAGAGGAGGAGATGTTAGGCAAGGATATTGAACAGACTCCTGTCTTCTAGCCATGCTCACAGATAACAGAGCTGGAGAGAAGGCCAGGACTCCTGGCCCTTCTTGGCAGATATTTCAGGGCCATGTGTTCCTTACCCCTTGGTGTGAAATTTTTCTTCTCTCCCTAAAGCGTTTGTTCTCACAATATAAGCCTTTTGATCTCAGAAGAGCACATTCTATTTAAAAAAAAAAAAAAGAAACCAGAAGATTTTCTTACTTTCAACTCCATTTTGTTCTGTTATTAACTTTCTCCCCAGAGCTGATGGGGGCTGGAGGTGTGGACGCCCTCTGAAGCTCACTACCATGTCTGGGGAAATGACCGTGGGTCTGGAAAGAGACATATCTTTCCTAATGCAAAGCCTCTGATGCCCTTCAAATGAGGAGAAGATGAAAGTTGTGAGCAGTTTCATGTTTATCCAGCCCTCATATTTCACACAGCAAGAACAAGCAGGGAAGAAAAGGGGGGAGGGGGTAGCAGCTAGAAGGGACACAAATTCTTTCTTTGAAAAAGAGGCCTTTTTCATTATTTCCTGAAGGAAATCAGAGCTGGTCTCTAGTTGAATTTCACTTTGTGTAACATGATTCAGCAACACCCTGATTCAGCAAGGAGCCCATCTGTAAGAATGTGAGTAACCATCCTTATTCAGCAAAGCACTTAAGCATGTGCTTAATTTAACTTGAAGTATGCCACTGAAATCAATGGACTGCCCAGGTTCTTACAGTTAACTCTGTGCTCTGCTAAATAAGGGTGGAGTTACATGATCATCGAGTCAAGGTGGGTGAGGTAATAGCTTTTATTGGACCAACTTCAGCTGGTGAGAGAAAGAGAGAAACTTTGGAGCTTACACAGAGATCTTCTTCAGGTCTGGGAAACTAACTAGCTCTCTAATATCCTGGGACTAATAGGGCTACTACAACACTGCCTACATGCTCAAAGGTAAGCATCTGCCTAAGTGCTTTGCTGAATTGAGGCCTAAAGCAGCCCACTTATTTTTCCTTAATACTTTTAATACAAACAGGTTCAAGTCACACTAAGAAAATAATACAGAGTATGGTGGACCATGCAAGGAACCTGAAGGCTCCAAGTGAGACCAGTTTGAAGGAATGTGCAACCACCCCCAGTTCCCCAGATTTTGATTGTGAGGCAAATTCTGATACCCTCACTCATGTTGGATAGCACCTTAGGTAGTTGGTAATACGTAGGTAGTTGGCTAGATCCTGGAGTAAACTGGGCTCCCTGAAGGAGCACTGGAACAATTTTTATAGTGGGGTTACTGAGAGCCATTCAAGCAAAATGTAAACCCTTTATAGAATGGAAACCACTTCAAGCCATGGGGTGTGGC